CCCAAAACCCCAAAACCCCAAAACCCCAAAACCCCTAAATTTAAAAATATTTTATATCGAGCGAATAAAAATAATTTTAAAATAATATCATAGAAAGGAAAATCAATTATGGTAAGTTTGATTGAAACTTAAAAATAATTCATATCATTTTGATTTGCTCAAACAATGTTTTAGGATAGAGGAGTTAATCAGTAGGCTGTAGACAATCAAAACTTGTCAAGCAATGGTGATAGTCCCCAGTAAAATGATTATAATGATGAGGCTAATGGTGCCCCTCAATAAGATAACTAGGAGATGATGGATTTGAATGTATATGAGGATGATGATGACGAGACATTGCATAGAAAATTGATTGCTGCAAAGATTGCTAGAAAACGAGCTGAAGAGGATCAAAAGCTCTTATCGAATAGAATTCAATTACTCAGACAAGAAGAACAAAAGGTAAGTTAAAACAAAAATAAAATACCCTTGAGATGCAGTGAATAACCTACTAATTTAAAAATATCCATTAGCATGTTCAAAATCACAATATCATTTGCCAATGAACAAATCCTTATTCTAATTATAGGCATGGAAAAAAATTGATGAAACAAAGAAGCGTGCAAAAGAGATTATATCCCAAAGGTAGAGAAACCAGGAGCACATGTAACAAAAAATGGAACGACAAAGATAAAAAGAAGAAGAGGAGTAACAGAGATAAGCTTAAAACAGAGCTTTTAAAGAGCAACTCAAGTAAAACATTCATTAATAGAAGTCTGGGTTTGAGGAGAAGGTAAAGAGTTAGGTTGACAATGTGAAACAAGAAAAACGCGACCAAAAAGATTTCTTACACATCTAGAAACAGCAGGATTACTTGAAGAATAGCTCACTTAAGTAAATGATTAAGGGCCAATAGAAAGAGGCACAGGAAAAAAAGCAGAGGGACTTAATGGAGAAGTAGGCGCGAACTCGCCAGTAAATTGAAGAAAAGGCCTTTAGGGAAGAGTCAAAAAGACTTGAACATGAGCAAATGGTAGCAAGAATGGAATAAGAAGAATTAGAACTAATTTAGAGATTGTAAAATACTCAATTATTGTAGAAAGCTGCCTATGAAGATCTTGAACATGCTTTGGTTAATGGTGGTAGTGCAAACGGTAACTAATAAAATAATGAAAGACCTGGCACAACATCTCAGAAAGGAAAGAATGGTGTGGCAAGAGTCGTTTCATCTCAAGGTTCAAGGAAATGAGAGCAGCTTCCTGGGAGCGTATATATAAGAAGTTATGCTGATTGATAGTTAGGAGAGCATTTTAGTTTTTTACTTTACTATATGTGATTTTATATTTATAAATCTCAATCTAAATATTGACTTTGAAAGAATTTCATTGCAAATTATTAAAGTATACTCAAGGGGGTTTTGGGGTTTTGGGGTTTTGGGG